GGCACTAGAAAAGGTTCAGAGAAGGGCAACTAAAATGATTAGGGGTTTGGAACGGGTCCCATATGAGGAGAGATTAAAGAGGCTAGGACTCTTCAGCTTGGAAAAGAGGAGACTAAGGGGGGATATGATAGAGGTATATAAAATCATGAGTGATGTGGAGAAAGTGGATAAGGAAAAGTTATTTACTTATTCCCATAATACAAAAAGTAGGGGTCACCAAATGAAATCAATAGGCACCAGGTTTAAAACAAATAAAAGGAAGTTCTTCTTCACGCAGCACACGGTCAACTTGTGGAACTCCTTACCTGAAGAAGTTGTGAAGGCTAGGACTATAACAGCGTTTAAAAGAGAACTGGATAAATTCATGGAGGTTAAGTCCATTAATGGCCATTTGCCAGGATGGGTAAGGAATGGTGTCCCTAGACTCTGTTTGTCAGAGGGTGGAGATGGATGGCAGGAAAGAGATCACTTGATCATTGCCTGTTAGGTTCACTCACTCCGGGGCACCTGGCATTGGCCACTGTTGGTAGAGAGGATACTGGGCTGGATGGACCTTTGGTCTGACCCAGTACGGCTGTTCTTATGTTCTTATGTCATTAGACATCATGTTGTGACATACATTGCAATCCCACACAGTATCTTTGGTGACCACTGTATTACATTGATGAAAGGTTTATGTGTGATTGTGTCTTACTCCATGGGGGAGGGTCCCACAAGTCTCCAGGAACTTGAAAGGGTGTGTGGGTGGGAGAGGGACTAAGGGGAGTCACTGAATACTGTAAACAGCCCCCAGAGGTGCCAACTGCTTCAGGTCTCCGCTCCTGTGATAGGGCCACACGGCCTCCCCTTTCACACACACCCCACACCCTGTGCCACCAGCAGAAAGGGGTGTCAAAGCTTTAACTGAATGAGGGAGGTGGAGTGGGTTTAACAACTCAACCTTCTTAAAAATACTTTGTGTCGGGTGATTCCATCAACGGCGCCTCATGGCAACCCAATTTTTAGCACAAGCATAGTAGCCTGGGGAAGCGTCTTCCCAGTGCAGGGCTGAGATGGGCCGTAGCCCCCCACACCATGGGGCCCCGCCCCCTGTTCCTCTTCTCTCCCCCAGGCCACACGCCCAACCAGGCCTGAAGCGGGCCATGGTAAGAACCCAGGGGGGCCATTTCAGATTTGGGGGGGGGGGGCCCAACTTTAACTGTGATTCCAGGAGCTACTTAAGCACCTGAAAACGATTGAGGTTTTTTTTGCAGATTCTTATTTAGAAATTAGCTGACAGGACACTGTATCTAATTCCTATATAAAGATAAAAAGATATAAAAACACCAATTATAGCCATATTTTAAGTTTATACGTAAGTATAGAGGAATCAGGAGATAATACAGCAAGATATTCCTAATTCCAGGATTTGAGGTATCATAAGAACGGCCAGACCGGGTCAGACCAATGGTCCATCCAGCCCAATATCTTGTCATCCCACAGTGGCCTTTTGCCAGGTGCCCCAGAGGAATGAACAAAACAGGCAATTACTGCGTGATCCATCCCCTGTTGTCTGCTCCTAGCTTCTGGCAAACAGAGGCTAGGGACACCATCCCTGCCCAGCCTGGCTAATAACCATCGATGGACCTATCCTTGATTAAATTAGCCAGTTCTTTTTTTAACCCTGTTATATACTTTTGGCCTTCACAACATCCCCTGGCGAAGAGTTCCACAGGGTGACTGTGCGTCGTGTGAAGAAATACTCCCTTTCGTTTGTTTTAAACCTGCTGCCTATTCATTTCATTGGGTGGCCCCTAGTTTTTGTGTTATGAAAAGGAGTAAACAACACTCCCTTATTCACTGTCTCCACACCAGTCATCATTTTATAGACCTCTATCATAGCCTCCCTTTAGTCATCTGTTTTCCAAGCTGAAAAGTCCCAGACTTTTTAATCTCTCCTCATACAGAGGTTGTTCCATACTCCCATTCAGTTCTGATGCCCTTTTCTGAACCTTTTCCTATTCTAATATATCTTTTTTGAGATGGGGCGACCACATCTGCACACAATAGTCAAGATGTGGGCATACCATGGATTTATATAGGGCAATATGATATTTTCTGTCTTCTTATCTATCCCTTTCCTAATGGTTCCTAACATTCTGTTCGCTTTTTTGACGGCCGCTGCACATTGAGCAGATGTTTTCAGAAAACTATCCATGACTCCAAGATCTCTTGCTTGAATGGTAACAACAGCTAATTTAGACCCCATCATTTTGTATGCTTAGTTGGGATTATGTTTCCCAATGAGCATTACTTTGCATTTACTTTCCTATATCGGTTTTGGAGCCTTAATACAAACTCTAAGAACTTGAATTGGTAAATAAAATTCATGCAGAATATTTGCTCTATATCATTGTCCTTATAATGGCACGCCAATGACCCACCTACCTTTTTATTTTCATTTTTATTTGTATTACCTTCTGGAAAATTATAAGCAAGCAAATATGCACTCTTAATTTGTATATCTCATTTCTCATTAAAAAGTTATGAAGACTAAAGTAGTTGAGTTTCCCCTCAAACATTCTTCTGACACAGAATAACTAACAAATTAGTGAACAAATTTGTATTGTCACTATCTTAAAAAAGAAAAGACAAAAAGCTTCTAAAGTGCTAATTGGAAAGAAAATATGACACTAGATTGCCCAACATGAGTTTTCTATCAGCTCTGACACACCTGAAGGTGTATTTCCAGTATATACAAATGTTTGCCATTGGAAAAAGTGATATGTGTTTTCTTTTCCTATTGAGTTACTCAGTAACTAGAAATAAAGTCTTAAACATTGTATCTGTTTATACAATACCTTTGATATTTCTCCAGTACACATGAAAGTAGGGTTACCATATGTCCGGATTTTCCCGGACATGTCCGGCTTTTTGGGCTCCAAATCCCCATCCGGGGGGAAATCCCAAAAAGCTGGACATGTCCAGGAAAATCGGGACATGCGGGGCCGGTGGTGCCGGGCCGGGGGCTCGGGGGCCGGTGGTCGGC